GTGTAAATGGTTATTGAATTTATCCTTAAATCTGATTGCTTCTGTAAATGTAGTAGTTTTATTCATTAACTGTGGAAATTAAAAGACTTAAGGTTTTAAACATGCTTTATTATTTTAATTCCTAGAAGGGGCTATTTATTTCTTTAATTTTTCATTTCTCTTTATCATTTTTTATATTAATTTTTAATTATTTACCTTAATATTCAATACTTAGCTAATGTAACTTATTTTAATTTGAATTATCAATCATCAACTTAAGGCAAGAAGGAACCAAGAGATATGAAATAAATGTTAAACATAACAACTTTGAAATCTATCAAGATACAATAAATAAATTTTGTAAATCCTAATTTATCTGATTATAAATCTATTGACTATTTTTAATGAATATTAGATAATCTGTCACTATTTGTTATTTAAATACATAATTTTTATTTATTTATCGCAGAATCTAAGTTACATTTTATATAATTTAATTAAAATGACTAATGTATATGATACAATATTTATTATATTAATGAATATTAAACGTTAGTAAAGAAGAAAATTAGACACATTTGCATTATTTAATTCAAATAAGAATAAACACGTATTAATAGATTTATTATAATTATTTATATACATCAAGTCCATAGACTTACTACTCCTTCTTTACTTGCCGAATAGATCCATGGCTAAGTTGGATGAAATGCAACATCCATCACTGATTCCTTTTTCTTTTATTTCAACACTTTCAAGGGGAGAATTACTGGAGCCTAATTCAAGTCAGTACTAATACGGCAATGGAAAATATTGATAGTTCCTTTAATTAGATACATTTATACCATCATCAGAACAAGAAGCAAACAAAGGATAAGTCTTATGGAAAATAACACGCCTAACTCCATTTTTATGATAACTCATTTTCTTAAAAGGTGTTTTTCCCATATCTAAATCAAACCAACACACTTTCTGATCATTTGATCCTACGATTAAATTATCTCCATATGGATGAATTGCAATTGTTGAGTTTTATTAATTACCTGCTAGTAGTTTTTTCATTAATTACTATTTGGTTAATGAATAAATAAAAATGTTTTTATTAGTCATAATGTATAATTCTGGTTTGGTCGGGTGGAAGATAGTTTATTGTACTTCAGTGGAAGCTTTCATATTTTAAAAGGGAATAGATGTTGATGACTTACTGATGGAATGAACTAAAATGCAATGAGATTTCACATGAGTATGAGGCTATGTACTCACAATATAATCAGATTTACTATGAAATTGAGCATACAAGGGATCATAAGGCATTTTCACTTCAAGCAATTGTTGAAACACATTATCATCCAACTCAAAATTCCACTCGAAGACATTGTTTGAATTTTTAGGAATTTATTTATTTGCCTTTTCACCATCTTCAACATTTGGATGTTATCTTTTATCAATATATGAATTTAAGATGATGAATCCATTTGATTATAGAATACAAATTAATCCAGATGAACTGAAATCTAATCCCAAAAATTGTTTATCATCTGATTACCATTTAGTATATAAACATTTAGATGTCTTGGTATCAAAGAATGCAATAGCAAATTCATAACAAACTCCTAAGAGTTAGCCATCTTGTGATATAGAGATTTGTTTAACTTAGCCTGATTTTGTTGTATCAATCTAACCGAATTCGAAATTTAATTTAGTTGGAAAAGGTTTCAATTCTTCTGGTTTTGGAATTTCTGGTAGAAAATCTGTAGATTTCATCATCAATTTCTTTCTTCTAATTCTAGGTGCCAAATATAAATCCAAGCATCGATTGAATAAATCCTTTGCTAATTATTCTGATGAAGGGACATTTCGTAGATGCTTAAACTTTTATGGAATAAATGGTATTTCTCTGTCTTCTGGATCAGTTTACAACCATTATTACTTTTCTTATTCAGTAAATAGGTATTCTTCTGGAGGATTATAACTAGCAACATTTGATGGTAATTAAGCCTTAGAAGCTGGTATTCTGGCTGGTAAATATTTGCTTAACACTTGATCTTCAGCTACATTTTCCCAGATGTCAAACATCTTCTCCACTTTTTAAGGTGGATTCAAAACTATTCTCCCTAATTTAATGCCTTAAACTAATTTATTAATTTTAATTCTCTCCCATTTAGATGGCAGGAACCTACGTTTTGGATTGTATGAAGAAAGGAGATCAAATTGATTGAAATCTTCATGTTCAAAATAATACTACGTTGATATATAATATGGTATTTACATCATCTGATAATTTGATTGCAGTTTTGCCTGTTCTAATTCTGTCTAACAATTACAATTGCTTATCACTTAATACTACATCTTGGTTGTTTAACTCATCTCTGACTACTCTCCACCAATCTTTGTTTTCAGTCTTATTAATGAATTCATCAATGGTATCTTGAAACTATTTTTTTTTCTGAATTTTGTTTAGATTCTCATCATAACCAATAAAATCTTTATCTTTGTATTTCTTTGTTTGCAATCTTCCAATTTTAGATAATATCTATTTATGAATTGAGTAATAATACCTTTTCATCTTCACTATCATCAGATTCTTAATAGTATTGATCATGTATGTTCTTTGGTTATAATGACAAGTCCTTTTTAATTGATTTCTTATTTCTAATTGCTCTAATATTTATTGTATTGTTTTAATTCATTAATTATAAATTTAATTTAAGAACGAATTATATTTAATTTATCTCATTTAGGCCCACCATTAATAAAATTATAATGATCA